CTGGAAAAGGCAAAACAGAAAGTCAGTCATTGCTAGGGGTTGAGAGGGGAAGGAGCAATGAACACGCAGAATGCAGAGGATTTTTAGGGCAGTGAAATGTCTCTAGTATACTATACGATAGTGGTGGAAACATGTTATTACGCATAGAATGTTTAACGCCAAGAGTGAACCCTCATGTAAACTGTAGACTTTGGGTCATAATGATGTGTCAATGTAAGGCTCATCAGTTGTAAAAAAAAATGTACCATTTTGGTGGAGGAAGTTGATAATGGGGAGTCTATGCATGTAGGGTGAGGGGCTATATGGGAGATCTCTGTGTCTTCCTTCTCGATTTCGCCGTGAATCTAAAACTGCTATTATATATATAACTGCTATTCTTTATATATATAACTGCTATTATATAGATATCATATATAACTGCTTATATATATATATGTCTTTAAAAGCAAAACAAACAAATAAAAACACTCCCAGAGTACTTTGTCTATAGACCTTCTTCTATTCATAAGTATTTTTACCTCCACTCCCATCTCATTCTATCTGTATCTTGCTATACTTAACCGGAGCTATACTGAATTTGCATTCGGTATGAACAAGTCTTAGTTCCTCTTTTAGCAGATCATCTTCACATTTCCATCAACATGCAGCACAGGAAGAAAAAAAGGAGCCAAGAACTGAATCTGTCTGGGGACCCTGGAAGCCCAAAGAGGAGTTCCATTTTGAGAAAGAGCCAGGCTAGAAGCTTAAACTCTGTACTTGGGGGTAGGGTTGCAACGCTGGCGCAGAGGGGAAGAAAGGGATCATCCTCAACCTTTCATACATCCAGACTCTGGGAGATGAGCAGGCTTAGCTCCCTGGCAGGGCTACCAGTGAAGGCAGGGAGAAGGGCAGAGGCTTGGAGGCCACAGTCACAGGCTGTAGAAGAAAAGGAGCAGCTCCAGGCATCCAGCTGGTGGAGGCCACCTGCTCTGAGTGCTGTGCGCCACTTTTCACAGCCAGCTGTGCTGCTGCTACCCATCCCAGTTTCACAGGTCCTGACCTGGAGACACATCTGCAACATTGATTATGGAGGCTCAAGTTAATGTTATTTTAGGCTGGTCTCGAACCCCTGACCTCCTGATCTGCCCGCCTTGGACTCCCAAAGTGCTGGGGTTACAGGCATGAGCCACTTAGCCCAGCCCTGTTATGCTCTTTTTAATGAATACTAAAGCTATAAAGATGGTCAGCCATGGTGGCTCACACCTGTAATCCCAGCACTTTGGGAAGGAAGGCTTTTGGATCATTTGAGGTCAGGAGTGCGAGACTAGTCCGGCCAACATGGTGAAACTCTGTCTCTACTAAAAGTACAAAAATTAGCCGGGTGTGGTGGTACATGCCTGTAACCCCAGCTACTTGGGAGGCTGAGGCAGGAGAATCACTTGAACCTGGGAGGCGGAGGTTGCAGTGAGCTGAGATCGTGCCACTACACTCCACCCTGGGCGACAGAGTGAGACTCTGTCTCAAAAAAAAAAAACTGTAAAAATAAACATTATAATAAGAAGTTGTCAGCCATTGATAGTACCTTTACTACCGATTGGTGATCATTGTACCATATTTTGGGGAAACATTGTTTTAACTAAAGAGTGTTATTGTTTTCTTTTGAGAGACAGGGTCTGGCTCTGCTGCCCAGGCTGGAGTGCAATGGCATGATTGTAGATCACTGCAACCTGAACTCCTGGCTTCAAACAATCCTCCCACCTCAGCCTCCTGAGTAGCTGGGACTACAGGTGCACGCCACCATGCCCAGCTAATCACTTTTAAATTTTTAATAGAGATAGGGTCTTGCTATGTTGCCCAGGCTGGTCTTTAGCTCTTGAGCTCAAGTGATCCTCCTGCCTTGGCCGCTGAAATGCTAGGATTACAGGCGTAGGCCACTGTGCCCAGCCAAAGGTGGACAAGAAATTGTAGAAAATAATGGATAACCTTCTGACCAAAGGAAAATGTGAGTAAGATACAAGAATTAAATAGCATATTGGAAGAGGCTGAATGACAAATGAAGAGAAAGGCAGACTGACACCTTAGTTACCTGCTAGAGTTGGACATTCATCAAGCCTAGCCAGTCATTTCCTTCTCCTTCCTCCCACCACCTCTTTCCTTCTGAACCTCTGGTTCAGATGCAAAGTCCTTAGTCTGTAACTCTAGATTGTTCAACCCATTAGCACATAAGAAAGTTGCTCTTCTGAGAATAATAAGCAGCAACACAGTTTCCTTAACAACCAAGGATCTTATAGAGGCAAGAACTAGAAGTAAGAAGAAAACACACACCAGGGACCGAAGACGTGGACTGGAGGTCTTGGGCCAATTAAGTGACCTTATTCCTATCTCAGAGCCTCTCCAACTCATGACTTCCTTAACTCATTCATTTAACAAATGTTTTCTAAAGCACTTAGTGTGTACCAAGAGTTGCCTCATGCACGAGGGTTGCAGCAGTGAATAAAACAGGGAGGCCCTGATCTCAGAGATCTTGTGTCTTAGTGAGAGTGACAGGCAATACATACTAAATAAATAAGCAATGTAACTTTAGGTGGTGAGCAGTGCTGTGAAAGAAATTAAACAAATGATAAAGACAAACTGGGGAGGAGGCATCCTGTAAAGAGGTTGGTCAGAGGAGGTCTCCCTGGGGAAGTAGCATTTGAGCTGAGACCTGAATGTACTACGAAGGGCCAGTCAGGAGATAAGCCAGGGAAAGAAGGTTCCAGACAGGGGGACCAGCAAGCCTCGCGGTGGGACCGCTGTCGGGGCTGGCTGCCAATCCAGGAGAACAACACTGGGTATGCAGTTGTACTTGGTGAATGGTTTTGATACAGCACACCAAGCAGTCCTGCGAGTTCCCTGGTGGTGCCTCAACGGTGGAGGGGCCAAGGACGGAGACTCTGCCAGACTCACGCCACCCTGCCCAAAACACACACAGAGAACGAGAGGGGGAGAGAGAGAGAGAGAGAGAGACGCATGCACATACTCTGCTTCAACAAAACAGCTCTTCTTTAATCTGAAGTCTATATTGGGTGGCTGCTTAAGATTTTGTTCAAGGACTAGGTTCAGGGATCAGAAATTCTTGATCTCAAAAGTGCTTTTCCACACTTTGTTTGATTCTCTGAAATGTTACACAGTGGTTACAGCAGTGGTCATAGAAGGGTTGATTCTATTCTACCCATTGACAGGGAGTCGGAGTGCAGCTCCCAGCAATCTGGCTCTCCTCTCACCGTAACATCCCACCCCTTTCCCCTCCAGTGGTGGACTGGAACCTCTGGTGCCTTCCAAGCCCATTCCAGCTAGAGAGGGACACACATCTCTGCCTCTTCCTAGGAGATTAGACTGATTTCCTTTGCTTGCACTGTCCGAACGAGACGCTTTCTGTCCCACACAGTAGAGCTTTGTGATGATAGCCGAGAAACGGCTCAAGTTTTTTCCAACCTGTAAAATGCAAAGTTGGCCAGCTGCCTCTCTTCCTAGCCTCAAAACTTGTATCTTTCCTGTCTCCAAAGAACTGCCCGGCAGCTCGGAGAGAAGTCTCTGCTGTCCTGGGGCTTGGGGAAAGCACTGCTCAGAATGTGAAATCGTTTTCTGGTAATACGGATCTAATTAGCTCTTTGACTGACAAGAGGAAGCAGAGGCCAAAAGGGATTTAACCAATCTGTTTTTCAGATATTTCAAAACAAGTGAAGAACCAGACAGGGAAATGGAGAGAAAGAGAAAATAAAGAGACAAAGCCTAGGGAGCATTTGGAGACGGGGGTGAGTGAGAAAGAGAATCACCAGTGGCGTCCAGTGCACCTCCGGTCCCAGCGGAGCCTCTGAAGTCACCAGCCTGCTTTGAGCTAGAGCTTTACGACTGGCAAAAGAAAACCCTGCGTATTTATCAAGGAAATGGAAAAACAGCCTGAGGACCAACACTATCTGACTTCACCGCTGAGTGGGGTCCCCAAGTCCCCACGGGTTGGGGTGACCCCCAGCACATCCTCAATTACTGAGGCATCGGGATTCCGTTGTTCTTTTGCTTCGTTCCCTATATCCCTGAAAGTTTTTTAAAAAATTGTAGTTACCTACCAGTGTCCAAAGCAATAGGCTGGTATCTCTACAAAGTGAGTAAACAATCATGCTTTTTAATGACAAACGTTGATTCCTTCAACTCTCCCTTGAGTAGCCCATAGAAGGGAGCAGGGGAAAAGTTGTACCTTTGGAAGACCGTTTAATGCAATGTAGCAGTATTCTCCCCTGCTTTTAAAAGTAAGAATTACCAGGGGCGAGTCCCTTTTTTTAGAAAGTTCTTTGTTTTCTCTCCGTTTACCATTAAACTCAAAACCTCTTCCTGCGTCCTGTATCTGAAGCAAGGTTTAGACACAAGCTTGTGGCACGTGTGGGTGTGGGGAGCTCCGCAGCCACGTGCACGCAGGGTGTGTTAACCTGTAATCTCCAATTTCGGGGCTTACAGCAGGTCGGGCGGTGAGGAAGACAAGGGCAGAGTCACCACGTTTACTCTCACCACATACTCAAATGTTAAAAAAAAAAAAAAAAGTGAATATTCTTCAGTTCAATGAATGCCTGTTATTAAGTTCCCATCCCCTCTGGACAGTGGTGCGAGGGAGGGTTGGACAATTGGATGGGGGGCCAATATTTTAGATCTATCTATAAGCATAGTTGGATTTATGTCATTTTTTTTTTTTTTTTGTTAAAAAATAATAACCCCGGGGGTAAACAGTCCCACTTTAGACAGGCATGCTGCTAGTCCTTTCGGATTTGCAGAAGTTGGCATATCTAGGTTGCCACTGGGGACGAGTGAGGGTGTGGAACGGTTGTTTGGACCTCATCCTGTGGCCTCTCCATCTCATGCTGGT